GACTGCAGTCACATGACCGGCCGGAGTCTCAGGCTTCTCCGTCAGTGGGTGCCGAGTACACCAACGAACCGCCAGAGACTACATATCCCAGAATGCCACTGGACCCGGGTCAGGCGTGCCCGCCCTTCCGCCCTAAGGGAGAGGAATACACATCCCAGCATGCTGTGCGCTTCCCGAGGCGGCTAGCGGGACTGGGGACCCGAGGCCTGTGCGGAAGTGGGTTCACCACCCTCGGCAGCTGGGCGGAGAGTGGAGGTTCCTTCTCGTTTTCCGTGGGGGTGTCCGCTCCGGACGGTGCCGGATGGAGGGGAGCTGACCCAAGTCCGCGGTGGCTCTTGGATTCCCTGTCCACCCACTTCCCGGTCCGAAGGGATGGGACCAAAAGGGTCTTGACAACCTGGTTTTAGGTTTACACGTGAGGAGGAAAATCCACGGGAGTTCATTGGCCGAAAGCCATATGTATAGTTTGTGGGAGATCATAAATATTAATAATTAATGCCACCTTGGATAAATGTCCTTTTTTTTTCTTTTCTTTTTTTCAGAAGGACCAGTTGATTTACATCAGAATTTGATATTGAGAAATTTTCTCTAAAACTGCACTCGGAATTATTTTTTTACTTTACGCTCTTCTCTGAGCAGCAGCTTTTTTAAGGTTAGTAAATTGGCAGTCCTCTCGTAAAATAAAAATATGCGACGGAGGGAGAGGTAAAGTTAAAAGTGGTCCATTTTACTGGAGCGCAAGGGCATTCTATTCGTAGGCAGTTCATAGTTCTGCTTGCTTGTTTGCTTGTTTTCAGCAAAATAAGGAAAAATGAGTGGGCACCTGGGTTCCAACAACACATTGCTCTCAGTGACCAACAGAAACTGTTCACGAAACCGATCCCCAGAACTCGTCTCAACCGTAACCGGGTGCGGAAGCTCTTCCGCCTCCTGTAATTCGCAGCTCCTTCGTGTCATACATATTTTAGTGCCCGCTGTGTGCGCCCATTACCTCGGTAACAGGAACCGTGCCCTGGAAGCGCTCATGTTTTACTGAGCGTAACAGGGTGTGATGGAAATCAATTCTCTTATTCAACCTGTGGTTTGCAAAATTTCGCAAACCACAGGTTGAATAAGTCACCAAAGCTCTGGACTACAAGGGGTAGAGTCCAGGTTTAAACTGAGGTCTACTGTTGGAGGGACTTTTGGGTTAAAGAAGAAAATGCATGGGGAAAAGTACTAGCGTATAAGATTTCAAAATAATTAGCTGTCAGTGTCATCATATTACCATTTTGTTTTATATGGTGGTCAAAAAAAATCATTTTTCTTCTAAGTTGTTTTGGCTGAGCTAATAACATGAGACAGATTAATGCTGGGGTCTTTTCCGCATTTACTAGGATTCAAGGAATCCGGAGAAGTGGCTGTGCATAAATTAATGAAGAGACTAGAGAAGAAATATGAATTTGGAAGGAATAGGAGAGCCAGACGGAAACTTGGTTCTAGTGACTAAACTCCCTGAATCTGCGGACCCCTGGCTTTCTAGTCCCACATTTTGTCCTATAGCAAAGCAGACGTACATATCAAAGGTAATGTTCGGTAAACAGTAAAGGAGCATCAGGTTGGGGGGAACTGCCCTCAGCTGTCTGGCAGCGGCAATAACATGCAGATCTTCAGCCCTGCTGAAGGTGTCCATCAGCCTTCTATGAACTTCTCACATTTTATTATGCCCAGCTGGAATTAGCCTCCAGCAGATTAACAGGAGGAAAATGTCCAAACCGTGTTACAGATATACATCCAGCGGATGCCATAAGAATATGAGACCCAAGGAGGCACTGGCAGTTAAGACTGATAGGCCATTCTGGACAAAGGAGAGGGAGGCAGAGGTCTGGGATTTTGAAGGGAAAGCAAGCAATTTAGAGGTGGATAGGAAGAGCAAACATGTAATAAACTATGGTGGGGGGTTCCCTTCTCCATGTCCAGCACGGAGCTGGGGAGAGAGAGACGTGAACTGGTTCTTTTAAGTAGGAGGCACTTTCGGGATTTGAGGAAATGAAAAGACACAGAAGTAGAATAAAAGCTTAGGACCAGGTGTGGCGTCTGCCCTCTGAATGGAGGGACAGAACAGCCTCCAACACCGTAAGTAGATTCAATAAATACACGAATAACAGAAAGTTACATCACATCTGGGTGGGCCTTGAGTTTCTGGCGACATCATGAGATCCATCCCCTTAACACTGGGCGGGAAGGTCAAACTGAGTGGCATCCCAGTCTCTTGACCAGGTCTGCCCCCAGGGCATGGCTCTGCCTGCGCTCTGAGTTTCAGCCAACATATTTGGCTTGATGCACAAGTGTTAGCTAGCAGCCCTCGACAATAAACAAATGGTTGCTGGGCCTCCCAGAAACAATGGTACACAGAAGGAAGTTCAACAAACAGGCTTTGCTAGATTTCTCGGGGTCTGGCACATTTAGCCTATGATATTATGCTTTAAGCAGGTTTTTCTATTTAAATTCCTTTAAGCAGATAAGGGGGAGGGGCAAAGGTTCTTTCAGAGTCTTGTTTTCTTAATAACCAGCCTAAAAATCAAAATCCTAAAAGGCTTATTTTGAGAAGGCAAAATTTTGGTCCCCCCTCATATCTATATATATAAAAGGCTAGTATGTTAAGTGTCCCTCCACCCATCTGACTGGTTGCTATGATGCACAATGACCACCAGGGGGCAGACGCTTAACACAAGAGCTGCTGTGACATGCACTGGCCATTTACAGAGAAACGGCAGCGGGGGCCTGGGGCCAACAAAGCAACACTTTGCTTCCCCCAAGTGGGACACAGGCCCCGCTACAACCCAGGAGCGACAGCCCACCAAATCACAGCAGACGCTGCCATGGCACAAAATGCAGCCCACAGCCCAGCCCAGAAACGGTGGTTGTGGGTGCTGGGTAATGATGTCACGTAGCAACATCTGGCTTCCTCTCCCTAGTGACAACTAGCCTCCTTGCAGTTTCTTCAGCCCAGGAACACGACTGGCTGGCTTCGTAGCCAGGTGGAAACGTTTCACACTGTAACCAAATGTCTGTGAAGTGTTTTCCCATGCCTCATCTCATTTTATCCTCACAGAAGTCCTGGGGAAGGTAGTAGGAGACTCGAGGGAATCCCATTTTCTTTTCATTAGCCAGAAAATGGAGATTTAGAAAGCTTAGAAACTTGACCCGATTGAAAAGAAGTAAGAAATGGTGGACTTTGAAATGACTTCAGGTTTACTCACTGCACAGAATATAGTCAAACATTGCTGCATTTAAATATTTTACCCTTTGTTCTCCCTGCATGATCCACAATAATAATCTGCTTCATGTTGATATTTTCTGCTGTGTTGCTGACAATTACCTGAAGGAGAAGTTTGAGTGCTTCACTGGGCTGGAAAAAGTTTAGCTAAATCAGAAAGCAGGTCTAATTAAGCAAGTGTATTCTTTATCTATAAAGGCTAAGTTGGCTCGTGCATGCACGATACATATAAAGCTCACTGAGCCCAATTGCACACGTGTGTTTCCATCTGTCATTGTTGATTGTGAATTTGGTTGACAATTCTATTATAGAGAAAGGGCAAATAGCGATATTAAAATGTCTTCTAATTAATTGCCTTTCAATGTGCACGAATTTGTGCACTGGGCCAGTAGAGAGAGAGAGAGAGAGAGAGAGAGAGTGAGTGTGTGTGTGTGTGTGTGTGTGTGTAAATCCAAGCATCCAGGTGACCCTATGACGTGCAATAACTATCGGGGCAGACGCTCAATGCACAGACATGGAAACATGGAACAGACTGATGCATCTCAGAAGGAAAGGGGGCGGGGAGAGGGCAGGTAAAGATTAACCAAAGATCTTATATGCATACGAGAGGCTTGGTGCATGGATTGCTACACCAGTGGGGTCCCTCAGTCCAGCCTGTGGGGATTGAGCCGAAACTGGCTCTCCAACATCCCCCAAGGGGTCCCAGATTGGAAGAGGGCACGGGCCAGGCTGAGGGACCCCACTGATGCACAAATCCGTGCACTGGGCCTCTAGTATCTATAATAATAAAAGCATAATATGCAAATCGACCAAATGGCTGAACAGTAGAACAAACGTCCAGACAACCTTCCGGATGAAGCTGGGACAGCCAGGGCTGTGAAGGCCTACACTTGCATGAGTTTCATGCATTGGGCCTCTAATATCCTATCTAATAAAAGAGAAACATGGTAATTGGCGTACAACTGCTACCCTTCCCATTGGCTAATCACCAAGATATGCAAATTAACTGCCATCCAAGATGGCGGCTGGCAGCCAGGCAGTTTGAAACTAACATGAGGCTTGCTTGCTTCAGTAACGGAGGACTCCAATGTTCCCCCTGAGCCTGCA